CAGTGGCTTCTTGCTGATAACAGATGACAAAACTTGTGTATATCGATTAATCAAAAGAATTACAAAATATATAAACGAAACCCTAATAATCCCTAATAATCTAATCATAGAAATGAACACTGGATACATATGAATAGATAAAATTTTACAAGGTTTGTTAGTGGGGTTCATGAATCCCTTAAAATTTCTTATTATTATTGATCTTATTTGTTGACAGGCAGGGTATGATTATGATGAGGAGACATTTGAGAAGATATTCAGGCGCATATACTCAACTTTTGGTTCAGCTGCACCTTATACAGGCTTTCCAGATTCTCAACCATTCCTAAGATGGATTCATGAGAACAGTCTCAAAGTGGGGTTAGTTAGCAACGCTGAGTATCGGTACAAGGATGTGATTCTACCAGCATTGGGTTTGAATGAGGTAAATATTCAAGTATATAATGGATAATTTGATTAGTAATTTTGCAGATGAATATATGAGAAGGGTGATGTTTAAGTGATATTTTCTTATAGTTTGTTTACTTTTTATTTGGTACTTCAGAATTTGGATTATTTTGGTATTTTTCTTATTGTAAACTTTGTTACATATTTAAGTAAATTTTAATAGATATATATGGAACTAGACCTTTTTGTGAATATTGTCAAATACAATAAATAAATAAATATATAAAATGGATACATATTATTTTGATCACAGTTTTTTTTATTTTATAATATGTATGAAAATTCCCATATTGGGAGTTTGCTTTAGGCTCTGAAAAACTCACAGTCGGCCCTATGTCATACACCAGTACGTGACCTCGAGAGAGGTGTCGATGCTTCATTAGTGACCATAAATTCATAAATTCATAGTTTATGTATTCAGGGATCGAGTGGGATTTTGGCGTGTTCTCTGGCCTTGAAGGTGTAGAAAAGCCGGACCCAAGGTTATACGAGATTGCATTGGAGAGGGCTGGAATTATTGCACCAGAAGAGGCATTACACATCGGAGACAGCATGCACAAGGACTATTTGCCTGCAAAGAGCTCGGGGATGCATGCGCTGTTGATGCTGATAATTGGACGAAGTCCGGCGCGCCTGTTCTCCCTGACCTTGTGGCTGCACAGGCATGGCTGGCTTCTGAAAATTTGATTTGCTAATAACCTTGTATTTTCTGTAATGCTGCTCAATACTTACTGATATGATGATGTTGGAAAGAAAAGAAAGATATTCATTCTGTGATATTCTAAGCAATGTTATTGAGTTTGGTTCACAAGACATTTAACATTAGATGTTCTGTCTGTAATTTGTGTTCCTCATTCTTGCAGTCAAATAAGAAAGTTCCTAAAAAGATCAATTGTCTGTTACATCAAATGAGAAATTAATTGCATATGATATGATGCTTAAGTCAATTACATATGGGTTAATTACACTTAGTATCTTTGTACTTCAACTAAAATGTAGTTTTGGCCTTTTTATTTTCACTTGAAAGAGTCAACTTCAAGGTTGTGTTTGGATTATTGATTCGGGTAAGGATTTGAAAAAGAAAATAGAAAAGGTAGATAAAATATGAATATAATATAATTACATTTCATTTATATTTTTCTTTTTCTTTTCTTTTTCAAATTCTATCCAAATACATGATTCAGTTACAGCGTAAGTCGAATTGCAATGTCATTCTAGTGTCTATATGATGTTAACAAGGCTAGTGAAATCTTAACATTTTAATTCAAGTTATAATGTCATCTTTTCGTTTATCTACTGTTATTAAGGCACTATACTTCAAGTTTTTATAATGTCATTATTTCATTTATCTATTATTAATGAGACTGATGAAAATTAAAAATAAAATGATCAAAGTGAGATTTTATTACAAATTCCTTTTAAGTAAGACAAAATCAAACAAGAAAATCACCTAAAAAAATAAAAAAATAAAAAACTTAACGCGCTCTAAAATAACAAAATTAAGTCTGGATGATGCTAAAAACAAATCCAACACTTGTTGAAATATTTTTTACAAAGACAATATTGTTGATGAGATACCAAACAAACAATGATCAGAAATTAAATATCCTAACTTTGAGTGGGTGCAAGTCAAAATCTTACAATATTTATTTTAATACAAAATTTATTACATTGCTTACTCAATTTTTAAAAATTAAAAACATGACAAAAAATTTCTAAACTAGCGAATTAAAGGAACATCGTAATCTTACAAAATATATGGAATTTTATTTTCTTATAATAATATGATGATTTATTTTATTTTTTGTAATTAAGAACCATGTTGAAGGACTTTTTGTTTTGAAGTGGGAGTCCTCAATTCAACCCCATATAAAAAATGTTTTTATTAAATCTTTCTCCAATACTATTCCAAACTAAATACAATTCCTAATGTCCTACTTTTTCTTCTTTCTTTCTTTCTTTCTTTTTTTTTTTTTCTTTTTTTCTTTTTTTTGTGTGGTTAAATTAAAAATAAAAATATTGATTAAATCTAATTCCTGTTCAACTTGGATTAGATCTCCAAATCCTATGGAAGTGTTAGTTGGTAAATTGATTACTACTATATATTAAATATATTTCATGCAAAGAGTTACAAAACTGTTTCTAAGAAAATATTGAACTTAATTTTTCATGGCTTCTAAGTTGGTACCAAGTGAAGATTTCATTCGTGATCCAGATTTCTCAATGACACCGGCTCAATGTATAGGGATGGAGCTTTATGCTCTTATCTCGGATTTTGATGTAGACGAAGGCGAGCATGAAAAATTCTGTAAAGAAAAGAAGGCTACAAATTTAACGGTGGACATGTTATTTAAAAAATTACTAGAGAAGAAACTTGTACTTAGTAGAAGGGGAGCGATGAATGAAAATAGTCCCAAAGATTTTGAGAAGATTGAATGTCTGAAGGGAAGTTAATTGTCATTACAACCATTGATACCAATCTTTTACAATTACAAATATTTAGGTGGTGTTTCTTTTTTTCTTTTTTTTTTGGGTTGAGGAACAGAGAGTGGTAATAGATTATGTAGGTTCTTCATGCTCTTTTATTCATTGAATTCAAGTTGATAGATTTTTTTTAAAAAAATTATATTTTAATATGTTGATTAATAGATTGATGGAATGTTTTTTCTACACCTCCATACAAGTTTCTGTAATGATAATTATTATTGTTATTCATCTTAATGTTTTCAATCAAGTCCTCACGACAGTAGGACCTTCCTATATTTCAATAATTGGATTAGTTAATTACTTAAATTTTTATGTGTACAATATCTATTAAGGGGTTGTTTGGGATGACCTAAATAAGTGCACTTTTTATCTTTTTACGAAAAGATGTGCAGAAAAGTAGAGAGGTGATGTGATGAAAAAAAGATAAATAGATAAAAAGATGGATTATTTGGGACTTTCCAAACTTGGCCTAAAAATCAATTTAATGACTCAATTATATTTGTCTTTAAAAAAATAGGTGAAGATAAATGTGATGAAATTATGTAATTACATTTATTAAAACAATTTAAGTTTTTTCATGATGATCTACATATGAAATCCCAAAAATTTAACTAATTGAATTGAAATAGCACTCCTAATAAACTTGAGGGCCCAAATTCTTTTAGCATGAAATTATTGAAAAAACAGTTTTATGCTTTTGGAAAATACTAAACAAATTTTACGACAAATTAAACTCTTTTCTTTTTTGGAATTTGGAAATATATAATTGGTTTCACACATTTTCACATAATTACATTGAACTACTTTTTAGTAAAAGTTTGAAATTATTTGTTTGGAAATTGATTATTTTAGTTATTTTTTTAACTTTTCATGAAAAGATATTCAAAAAAATAAAACGAATGATGTAACAAGCTGTAGTGGTTATTTTTGGCTATTTTAACCAAAAAATTATTTATTGATCTTGGGGCGCCACGTGACACTACTCTTCACCAATCACAAATCATTATGTCTCCTCATGTTTCTCAATCACCCAATACAAAATTGTGAATCACATTCCCTTCAATTACTTAATACAAAATCGTGGATTTAATTCCCTCCACCAATCACAATGTATGTACAGTGTCATGTGACGCTGTCTTGAATCAATCAATAACTTCTTATTTTAACCACTTCCTAAACAAGTCCAGGCGGATATACATCATTGTTTATAAAATGATGACATATTATTTGATGTTTGAGTATATTGTGACTATCGAGTATTTTGGGAAGATGGTTAAAAATCAAATTAATGACTCAATTATATTTGTCTTCAAAAAAATGATGAAATTATGTCATTACATTTATTAAAACAATTTAAGTTTTTTTCATGATGGTCTACATGTGAAATCCTAAAATTTTAACTAATTGAGTTGAAATAGTACTCGTAAATAAACTTAAGGGCCCAAATTCTTTTAGCATGAAATTATTGAAAAAACCAGTTTATGCTTTTGGGAAAATACTAAACAAATATTAGGACAAATTAAACTTATTTTTTTGAGATTTGGAAAAATATAATTGGTTTCAGACATTTTCACATAATTACATGAACTTCTTTTTAGTAAAACTAGAAAGTTTGAAATTATTTGTTTGGGAATTGATTATTTTAGTTATTTTTTTAGTTTTTAATAAAAAGATATGTAGAAAAATAAAGAGAATGATGTGACAAATTATAGTGATTTTTTGGCTATTTTAACCGAAAAATTATTCGTTAGTCTTGGAGCACCACGTGGCACTGCTCTTCACCAATCACAAACCATTATGTCTCGTTATGTTTCTCAATTACCCAACACAAAATCGTGAATCTCATTCCCTCCACCAATCACAATGTATGTAAAGTGTCACGTGACGTTATTCCTGAATCAATCAATAATTTCGTATTTTAACCACTCCCTAAACAAGGCGAAGCGGATATACATCATTATTTATAAAATGATGTCATATTATTATTTGACGTTTGAGTATATTGTGACTATATTAGGAATGATGACAATATTTCTAAAAATTGTAATTTCAAATCAAACCGAATTACATTTTCATTTTAATTCCAAAATTTTTATAACTCAGTTTGATTTTAAATTTCATCGAACAGAAAGTAGTAACTTGGTACTGATTTACGATGCTCATTAATATGTATAATTCATAAATAAGAGAATAATTGAGGAGTATTGTGTAATTAACCCTTTGTTAATACGGTGGCCTTTCCTCTCGACAAAACCTTCTCGTCTCTCTCTCCGCTGAATCAACAGAAGCCGTCTCTCTTTCTCTCTAACGAAGCTGAAGACTACGGTAGACATAACTTAGGTACTTTAAAGCAGCTTTTACAGTATTCACATCACTTGGAACTCTCTTTTATGTTTCAAACTTTCAATTAATTTGATGCCCACTAGTTGTTTGATGAAATGTTTCAAAGACTATTTTTTAATAATGATTTCTTTTTTTTTGCTTGAATAGAATTCAGGAACATATTCAAACTAAAGATTTGCTTTTGCCCATTATAGATTAGGCTTATCAAATTTCTTAGAATAAAGGATTTTAGTGATGGAAAAAGTTGTAGAAGAGAGAAAGTAGAAGACACTAATGTTGGAATATTGTTTGATTTATATCATTGATGAGCTTGTTCATTTCTACCAAAGATTTGAATGGTAGTTTGTCGGCCTTTTCCCAAATTAAGGCAAAATAGTAACTTATTTCCCAAATTAGGCCTAGTTTGGACGGAATTCCCAAACTAGCCTAAAACATGGTTGTGAACCACGCTTTCACCGTTTATTTGACCCTTCCGTTGAAAATTTCTAAAATCGTAAAAGCGTAGTTACAAACCACACTTTTAATTAAGAAATCACGCTTTTAAATCATTTTTTTTCTTCATAAAATGTGGTTTCAAAACACGCTTTTGAGCAAAATGTGAAAACTTGTTTTCAAAACACGTTTTCAACAAAGAAAAACCAAACCCAGCACTCTCTTTTTCTCTCTCTCTCTCTCTGACACACTCACGTCCATATACAAACCACGTGCTTTCAATAACTTTTTTTTTTAATTAATTATTTTTTTCAATTAATTTTTTTTTTCAAATAAAATTAGTTGAAAAATTTCTTTGTTAGTAAAATTTTTAAATTTTTGTTTAAAAACCAACGTAAACTCATTTTTTAAATTTATATTTTTTCCTCAAATTTACAAATTGAGACAACCATTTATAAACTAAAAAAATTATCAAACAAGTTTTTATGATATTTTTAAAATTTTTGTAAATATAAATTAAAAACTGAAAACGAAATGGTTACCAAACATGCGTCAGATGGTAAAAATGTCGTAAAATTAACAAATAATTAAATAAGTTACCAACATAAGAAATGACTTATCAAAAGATTTTTAGGCTATGTATGGTTTGATTTTTAGAATTTTTTTTTTAAAAGAAATGACTTATCAAAAGATTTTTTTTCGAGTGGTTAAAAATAATTTTTTACAAATTAAATTGAAACAACCATACGTATGTATATAACCTGCCTAAAAGTTAAAATGATAATTATTTTTTAGCCTTAAATGATAATTTTTTTTATTTTTTATTTCTTAACCAAATTAATTTTTAATTTTTTAAAAAAAAAATTCTAAAAATCAAACCATACACAGCCTAAAAATCTTTTGATAAGTCATTTCTTACGTTGGTAACTTATTTAATTATTTGTTAATTTTACGACATTTTTACCATCTGAGGTATGTTTGGTAACCATTTCGTTTTCAGTTTTCAATTTATATTTACAAAAATTTTAAAAACTGTCATAAAAACTTGTTTGATAATTTTTTTGGTTTATAAATAGCTGTCTTAATTTGTAAATTTGAGGAAAAAACGTAAATTCAAAAAATGAGTTTACGTTAGTTTTTAAACACAAATTTAAAAATTTTACTAACAAAATTTTTTTCAATTAATTTTATTTGAAAAAAAAATTAATGAAAAAAAAAATTAATTAAAAAAAAAGTTATTGAAAGCATGTGGTTTGTATATAGACATGAGTGGGTCAGAGAGAGAGAGAGAGTGTGTGTGAGAGAGAGAAAGAAGAGAGTGCTGGGTTTGGTTTTTTTTTTTTTTTTTTTTTTTTTTTTTTTTTTTTTGTTGAAAACGTTTTGACATTTTGCTCAAAAGCGTGTTTTGAAACCACGTTTTATGAAGAAAAAAAAAAAAATCACGCTTTTACGATTTTAGAAATTTTCAGCGGGAGGGTCAGATAAACGGTGAAAGCGTGGTTCACAACCACGTTTTAGCCTAGTATGGGAATTCCGTCCAAACTAGGCCTAGTTTGAGAAATAAGTTGCTATTTTGCTTTAATTTGGGAAAAGGCCCTAGTTTGTCCCATAAGCCCATTTGGGTTTAGGGCTCTGGAATGTTGTGGTGCTATGAACCTTTTGATTATCTGGCTTTGATGGATTTGGTTAATTACAATTTTTTCAATACACAAAAAATCATTTTGATGTTCTTCAGTATAGTGAGATGCTATGAAGCACCAACACTTCAAAATGGGTGTCGTGTCCGTGTTCGTGTTGGACATGTACGAGACGGAGACACCAACACACGGGGACACATGTGTCAATTTTCTTAGTCGTTACTTTGCATGACACTTTGTGGACTTCACCGACACACATATCTTGGACACTTATGTGAGTTTTCCTTTTGTTATAATTTTAGAAAGCTGATTTGGGGTAAAGTAAAATATTTGAAAACAAAGAGGTGGGAAAAAGGGATAAAAAATAAAATACACCCACATACACTTTGATACCTGTTGCATCTCTGTGCCCTAAATTTAAAAATATATAAAAATATTTTTTTTTCGTGTCCCCACCCCACCGTATTTGTGACTTAAATTTTTCAAAATTGCAGTTTCCCGTGTCCCTACCTGTTTCCACGTCCATGCTTCTTGGTGAGATGTATAGGTTCTATATTGCTACTTTCAGTTTCAAAGTTACATGTTGTTTACTTTATGCATTTTTTGATGTTATTATTTATTCTGATCTTAAGGTGTTGCTAGAGTTCACATTTGCTTGTCTGTGCTGGTGTCGTCCAAAATATGCTTCCAGTGTTGATTAATTGTGTGCAAATATTTCAGCTACAGAACTTTCACTGCACCAACTAATTTTGCTGTGTGTAATTATAACCTGTTTGGATGCAAGTGTAGCAATGGAAACAGAAAAGAAAGCTGAGCTTGTAAGTCTGCTCAGAGTTCTCCCCCCTGTAGAGTTCTGCTGTGTTAATGGCTCAGCCCTCCATCCAAGTAATAGCGACAAGGTTGATATTTTTCTTCACCCTTTTTAAAGTAGTTATTGAGATTTGTTTTTCTTTGGGTTTTAGATTGATTTGTTTATCTTTCTACTGCTTGCATTTTGTTGTCTTTTTTTTTTTTTTTCCCTCAAAAACTTTTTTTTTAAAAAAAAAAAAAAAAAACTGTAGTCATCAATGGGAGATTACATTCTTGGTGTGTCTAATCCTCTGCAATGGCATACTGAGGTAAGTGTTGAATTGCAACCCCTTCCGTTTCCTTTCCTTTACTTTTCTGTCTTATTTTTTTTTTCAGTTGCGGATGAAATTGGTGTTGGAGTGCATTTCAACCCATTTGTTACTTGGAAGGACAAGGTGCTGAGCATTTAACCATTTCTATTCATGGTGCTCATGTATGAATTAATGCGGAGTATCTCTTGGAAATCTTTCACCTTTAAGCATTGTTTGACAGATGTTCAAGTACGGAGTTGTTCGAATGGATGACTTGGTTCGGGATGTACTGAAATGGGAGAGGTTCTATTTGAGTGGTCGTTTACAAAAACCTGTAAGACTTCCCTATGAGTGCTTTTTCTCATCTTTACGTTTATTATCTTTTTATAGTTTATATATATCTATTCTAGTCCTAATTCTTTAAAGATAACAGAACAAAACTTTGCATCAATCATAAAATGGTCTCCAGACACCAACATGCTCAATTCTCCTTAGTGGGTTTGAGAATTGCTTTTATAGCAGCTTTTTGTTGTTGTTATATAAAAGAATCTCTTTTATTTTGGTGGCATGTACTTTTTTTTTTCCTATTTTGCCCTTAACTTGTATTTCTATTTTCTATTTTGTCCTTTATTAGTTGGTGGAATGATCTTGAGTGAAGGGTTTTAGGTCAATTATGTAAGGGTTTTGAATTTCCTATTTTATCTTTGGCTTGTTTTTTAATTCTCCATTTTGCCATTTTTTTTTCCTTTCTTTCTTTCTTTCTTTCTTTTTTTTTTTTTTTTTGGGTGGAGTTTGGAGGGTTACTTTGGAAAATCAACTTTCACAGAGGTATCATTTTTGGGTAATGATATTTACACACCGTAAAAACTCTTAGTACACATAACAAATGGTGTTCGGATATAAACTTTTAAAAATTAATAATTTCGTTCTATCTCACTAAATTTAATGATATTTGCCCTTTATTTCAATTAATTAAGTATTATTTGAGATTATTATCCCCAAATAAGATTTTTCTTCTTGGAATTGAACAGAGTAGAAGATTAAACAAGTCAAACGTTCATATTGTAGGGTTCGTTGAGCATATCATTTATAAAAAAAAATTCAAATTAATCAGATATGTTTTGAATTGTTCAAAAGAATTTCATGCTATTTTTAAAAAATAAGAGGCCTTTTTATCCAACAATTGGAGAAAAAAGGAAAAATATGGGAAATTTTATTTACACATGACATCATACAAACTCCCAGAGGGAAAAAAAAATATTAAGAAAAAAATGTCACAGTAAAAAACATTTGATTTTCCAAAACTACCCCTTTTGAGTAATTATAAATATATTAAAAATTTGAAAAGATAAGGACATTAGAGGAAAAATATTTTGAAATTTAAATTTAAGTATAATGATTGCATGCCCCCCTTATAAAGTTGGAATTTCCAAAAGGGACCAACAAATTGAGACGGAGGGAGATAAATGTATACATATGGATAATGCCATAGTACACACCAAATAATCATTATTTTTTAACCTCTATCGTTGAATTAAAATAAAATCATTCTTCTTTAACCTCTACCAAATGATTGTTCCACTATATTTTTCTTCCATAAAACAAACACTACCTTAAAATAAAATTAAAAAATAAATTTTAATAAAAATAAATAAAAAAAATGGCTGATTCGCCCGTGCCTTGCACGGGCCTACCCACCTAGTATATACATATATTTTTTTGTGCAGAAAGTCCACCAAGAGGGGAAAAAAAAAAACAAGACCAGATTTCTAGTTATTCCTTAAAGTGGCAATGATATGAGTGATTTTACTAAGGAAAAAGAATGACCTTAGCAGGATGAAAAAGAGGAAGAAAAAAAGAATAAGAAAGAAAGAAACAAAGGGTTAAGCAGCTTCAATACTGACTGAAAACACTAGGAGAAAAAAAAAAGAAGAAAAATCCGACAAAAATATAATGATTAAACTCATAAAGCAAACTTTGAGACCTCAATTGAAGCTAATGGCTAATAAAATTAATATCATTAGCCAATTTAGGACTATTCGACAGGACAACTGAATACCATAAGACATGTTCCAATAGGATTGAAAATCCTGATCTAGTATTTGAAAGTTTGGTTCTTTTAAGCACATTTCTTTATCTATTTATTTATTTTGTGGACAAACAAAAACTAGTGACAATTTTTTTAGAAATAATAATTTTGTATCATGTAATCTTAACAAATTCATTTATTTATTATAAAAAGAAGAAAATTACAACACTATCCTCTAGCAATGATCTTTACCCAACACTACCCCCAAAAAAAAAAAACTCTTGACTACGTGGTCGTGCCAATCATAGTCAATTTTCAACAAATTTAAGAGATCTCAAAAGGGTTTTAAACCAAAAAAAAAAAAACTATAGGGCAAATTTCACTTTAGTTTTACTCCCTTGTGGTTTGGCCCATGTGTACATAACTGTTGTCATTTAAAAATAAGCACATAATCCTGTGTAATTTGTAAACTAAGGTCCATTGTTAAGTCCGTTAATGGCTTAAGCAAAATAACTAAAATACCCTTGTAGATAAGTAACTTCATTATATAAACTAGAGACATTTTTATTATTTTTTAAGAGGCAAAATTCACTTTACTTCATGTGTGGGGTTTCTCCAGACATTGGAAATGAACACATAATTCCTTTTAAGTGTTGGCATTTACACATGCGTTAACTAGGACGAAATGCCTATTGGTGTGCTCTTTAGTGCATAAACTCCAAAGTGTTATCTACTTATGGAGTAAACTGCAGATGGAGTAAAGCACAATGGGTAAAGAAATTTGCCCAAAACTATATTATAGTTCGTGTTTATGAGAAATCAACAAAATGGGGGTGGGGAAATCAACAAAATTCCCATAAAAGCATTAAACTTTTTGTTTCATTTTTTTTGGGAACAACAAAAAATAAAAAAACTCTAGTTTCCATAATCACGCGGAATTCTAGTTAACAAACATTGAAAAGAAACAATCACATCACATATATATATATATATCTAATTTCTCATCGATCTGGAGACATTATCGAAAATCATAAATGAATTACCTTTTGGATTGAAGCGAAAGAGAGATCTAGAAATAGAAGCAGAGAATCTGAGAAAATAACAAGTAGAAAATCACGATACGTTGGATACAAAATTGAAGATACAATCGCGTATTAGAGAGGGAGAGAGAGAGAGAGAAGGTAATTTACCGGTAGCTTTCCCTCTACACTATTCACTTTGCTGGGCGATAATTCTCCATATCTCCCCCAGGCATGTATATCCTTCTCTATCTCTCTCTCTCGAATATGCGATTGTATCTTCAATTTTGTATCCAACGTCTCGTGATTTTCTACTTGTTGTTTTCTCAGATTCTCTGCTTTTATTTCCAGATCTCTCTTTCGCTTCAATCCAAAAGGTAATTCATTTATGATTTTCGATAATGTCTCCAGATCGATGAGAAATTAGATATATATATATATGTGTGTGTGTGTGATGTGATTGTTTCTTTTCAATGTTTGTTAACTAGAATTCCGCATGATTATGGAAACTAGGATTTTTTATTTTTTATTGTTCCCGAAAAAAATGAAACAAAAAGCCTAATGCTTTTATGGGAATTTTGTTGATTTCCCCACCCCCCATTTTGTTGATTTCCCATAAACACGGACTATAATACAGTTTTGGGCAAATTTCTTTACCCATTGTGCTTTACTCCATCTGCAGTTTACTCCATAAGCAGATAACACTTTGGAGTTTATGCACTAAAGAGCACACCAATAGGCATTTCGTCCTAGTTAACGCACGTGTAAATGCCAGGACTTAAAAGGAATTATGTGTTCATTTCCAAATGTCTGGATAAACCCCACACATGAAGTGAAGTGAACTTTGCCTCGTAAAAAATACTCCCTCTGTCCCAAAATATTAGTCCCTTATTCTATTTTTCATTGTCCCAAAATATTAGTCCCTTTTCAAAAATCAAGTACAAAAATAATATAAATTTTCTATTTTGCCCTTCTTTTAAATTAATAAACAATATAAAAAATACAATTATGACATTGATATTCCCAAAAAATGTACTATCAAAAGGGTAATTTTGGAAAATCAATTTTTTTAAAGTGTTATAATTGTACTACCAAAAAAAGTTGGATTCCCAAAAGGGACCATTATTTTGGGACAGATGGAGTAACAAAAATGTCTCTGGTTTATATAATGAAGCTACTTATCTACAAGGATATTTTAGTTATTTTGCTTAAGCCATTAACGGACTTAACAATGTACCTTAGTTTACAAATTACATAAGATTATGTGCTTATTTTGAAATGACAATAGTTATGTGCACATGGGCCAAACCACAAAGGAGTAAAACTAAAGTGAAATTTGCCCTATAGTTTTTTTTTTTTTTTTTTTAGATTTTTTTTTTGTTTTGGTTTAAAACCCTTTTGAGATCTCTTAAATTTGTTGAAAATTGACTATGATTGGCACGACCACGTAGTCAAGAGTTTTTTTTTTTGGGTAGTGTTGGGTAAAGATCATTGCTAGAGGATAGTGTTGTAATTTTTTTCTTTTTATAATAAATAAATAAATTTGTTAATATTACATGATACAAATTATTATTTCTAAAAAAATTGTCACTAGTTTCTGTTTGTGTCCACAAAATAGATAAAGAAATGTGCTTAAAAGAACCAAACTTTCAAATACTAGATCAGGATTTTCATTCCTAAAGGAACATATCTTATGATATTCAGTTGTCCTGTCGAACAGTCCTAAATTGGCTAATGATATTAAGTTTTATTAGCCATTAGCTTCAATTGAGATCTAAAAGTTTGCTTTATGAGTTTAATCATTATAATTTTGTCGGATTTTTCATTTTTTTTTCTCCTGGTGTTTTCAGTCAATATAGAAGCTGCTTAACCCTTTGTTTCTTTTTTTCTTTTTCTTTTTTTCTTCCTCTTTTTCATCCTGCTAAGGTCATTCTTTTTCCTTAGTAAAATCATTCATAGCATTGCCACTTTAAGGAATAACTAGAAATCTAGTTTTTGTATTTTCCATTGGATTCTTTGTATATGATCTCAAAATGGAGATGATAAAGAATGGAACAAAATTGTGTTTTCTGGTTCTATATTTATCCTTCAATGGTCGCTTTTATTTCCTTTAATTTTCCATCTGTTAAAACATATGCCCTTGCCAACTAACTTTTTTCAACTTTCATCCTCCCCAGCCTAAGTTTTGCAACAAATCAAATATGATGTTAGGATTAAATCTTCTCTGTTTCATGGAGTCTAAGCCTTCTGCTTCTAATATTTCGATTTGTAGAATTTGGACAATCCCCTAGTACGTTTTTGAGTATCAACTCTTAGATTTAATGATTGTGGAGAGTTTTTCATTCTCTTGTAATGGAAGGTACGCCTTTCTTGTTTGTGTACTTCTCTATTTTTGGTTATAAACTCACTTTCCAACTTTCATCCTCCCCTACTGTTGGTAGACTTAAAAAGATGGACTCTGCAGAGAGCAGGATGACATAAAAAGATGTCTACAGTGGCAGCTTGAGTATTCTTTTTGATGAGATGACAAGTGGGAATCATGGATTGTAATGATAAGCTAAAGATTTGTGTTTTTTTCCTTTGATTAGTAGGGTAAGACTGGTTGGTTTGAGAAAATGGATTATGCCCTTTTATGTGAGAAACTTGTGTAGGCTAGTTACAAAAGATTTTATATATTTGGAGGAATTTCATTTACTTTGGAAAAATGAATTCTGGTGAGAATGTTTCTACTCATTGAGTGCCTTTTTTTTTTTTGTTGGGATAAATAAAGGTGATATGTATAGGACAAAAGGAATGTAAATTGTTTACAAAATAAAATATATCACAAGCTACCTTCAGAAGTTCGGTCTTCTCTACCTTCAAAAGTTGTTTTCTTTCTCCACAAAAAACCAGAACTCTAATTATTGAGTGGCTAATTCACTAGAATTCGGTCACTCAAATAAAGTAAATATGAGACAGGACTTTCTCTCTTGGGAACAGATTCCATGGCATTTGTGATACAACAAACAATAGTATGTTTGCTAAATTCTTTTTTATTTTTTGAAATATGTTGTGGACCTTGTCTATATAATCTCTAGCTTGGCAAGGACAAAAGGAAAACTGATGATATTCATGTAGAATTTTTATGCTAAATAAAATCTGACACAACTTTTTTTTTCAATATTGCATAACATGCTGGATGCTGGTTGGTTGTCACATCTTAGGTTGGCTTCTGTGCATAACCTAGTTTGTGTTTGCCTATATTCTTGTAGTTGATGAAAATACGAGTGCATCATCTCATAGATGTTCATTTTTTCCCCTTAAGTTTGTGATTGGATACTTTCTTATTATTTTTGAAAATCTGCCTTAATTTTAGTTTCGAGATTATGAAGCTTGTTAGTTCCAAGATTATGAAGCTTGTTAGATCTATTATTTATCAACAGATCAACAGATATATTAATGATTTGCTTGAATAATATATAAAATAAACAGATCTATAAAATGAATATTAACGATCTGTTTATGAATATTAACGATCTATAAAATAAAATAATAGATCTGTTTATTTTAATGATCTGTTTATAAATATATTATATATATAAAAAATAATAATGATCTGTTTATATTAATGATCTGCTTCATTTCTGTTTCATTTCTGTTTATAAAAATAATCCTTCAAATTCATAATAAATAAATATATAAACAGATATATTATATATAATAAATAAATTTAGAGGGAAAAAAAAAACAGAGGTTGAAGAAACAAAAATGAAATCCCTAGATCGCAAATGTATACACTCAGATATATATATATATATATATAAACCCTAGATCGAAATCCCTAGAGAGAGAGAGAGAGAGATACCTAAACAGAGAGAGCAGCGAGGGAGGAGCGGCGGTGAGGGAGCAGAGAGAGCAACAGCCTCGTCGTGTGAGAGAGAGAGAGAGGCGAAACCCTAAACAATAGCGGTGGTGAGGGAGGATTGCCGGTGAGGGAGGAGCGACGGTGAGAGAAAGAGAGAGGGGGAGACCAAACCTTAAACAACACAGCGGCGAGGGAGAGGAACAGTGTCGTGTGTGTGAGTGAGTGTGAGAGACTAAGTCGAGTGTGTCAAATCCTAAACAAACACATGCGTATATATACCCAGGGACATAATGGTAATTTCACCTCAAGGACTAAACAGGGCGGGGCCGAGTCCGGGGCTTGAAAATTCATAAAAAATTATTTTCACATAGTTTGGTCCTAAAAGTTAAATTCCAAGTAATTATGTGGACAGTATACCTACCAATTTGGTTAGGTCCTTGCAATCTAATTTTTATTAAAGCTAAAATATCTGAGAAAAATATATATATTAAAACTTTTTTGAAAATCATAAATTTTAATTAAAAAGTAATTACAAGTTATCAAATAATTTTTTTTTTTACTTTTATGCACATTTTTCTTAAAAATTAAAAAAACATTACTAGAAAACTCAATTCCCAAACACCTCCAATGTAATAGTAACACCACATAACTTCAGATCAAGATTGCTAGAGTTGTGGGATGGCAGGCCCCCTAAACTTCTTAAAATTAGTTAATTAATCCTGCATTTATAAATTATTTTATATTACACATAGAATGGCTTCCTAAATTTTTAAAAAATTCTCTATTAATAACTCCTATACTACATAAGTATTCTTGCAATGCATATAAGATGACTCTAAATTGTTTGTTACGGTTACATCATTACAACAAAAATGAAAGTATAAATTAAAATTGTTCAAATTGAAATTATAAAAACTAAAATAAAAAAAGACATGTCATTTACCCATTATTTTTTATTATTAAATTATCATAATTCTACACCTATTTAATCATTATTTCTTCTATTAAATTAAAGTGCTCCCGTTATTGTTATAGTGATAACATTACATGATTTTTTCATTTTACATTTTTATCAGTAACAATGACAATATGTGAGCAATAGTATGGGTCAAGGACCCTACTCCACTCCCACCTCACCCCCCTGGTCTATTTAGCTTTACAAGTTAACATTTTTAGCATTAAATTCCAATAATTTGGTTTTATATGTAGCCTAATTGAGTAGAGAGAGAGCGAAAATGAAAAATAGAAATATATATAAAAAAAAAAAAAGATTACATCCTAAACTGCAAGTTCTAACAAATATTTGAGAGAGAGAGATCTGAAAATGTTTACAGGCATTGAAATGCATTGCACAAGGGAAAGAAAAAAGAGGGGATTTACACACAGGTATAAAGATTACATACAAGAAAGGATTTACCAACTAAAAACACTCAAACCTGCAAACACCAAGACCTAAGATGTAAATCTTGATGGATCGAAAGGATTTTGGGTTTTCGAGACTCCATTTTCATGTGAATTACAGGGAAGCGGCTCATAAAAAAATAAATACATAAAACAGAGAAAATGATGGTTCTGATTACTTTCGACTTGCTTATGTATTTTTCGTGGGCAAGAAATAATGAGCAATACTAGACCCACGTTTGCCAATATTAGCTACCCGCTTCTGAGGTCGAAGCCACCCTTGCAACTCTTCCTGGATTTCAGGTGGTAACTCATTAACCACAGTAGGGTCAATCTCATCAATCTTGAAATCCCACGCATCCCTTCTCATTTCATCTCAATCTAAAATTGACATGCCACTATGTGTTTCCATCTGTGTAAGCAGGTTCTCTTTGCGTAGCTCAGCTTCAATCAGTTCAGAACTGCCAATTACTGACTGAAAGCCTGCGCCAAAATCAAACATGAGAGAGAGAGAGAGACAGAGAGACTTGGCATGAATTTGGATTTAAAGGTAGATCTAAGAATTACTTGAGGATGAAGATGCTTTAGTTTCATCAATAGTTCTAACATGC